AAGGAGGAAGCAGGCAGGGGAAGAGGCATGTTCGCCACCTTTCTTTCTAAGTGATGCTCATTCCAGCATGAAGGCTATCACTCCAGCGTGTGTTCGCCACGTGTGCCATGCAGGAAGTGGGAGGGCTGGTGTGGGTCTCTGGGCCACCCACATACAGGAGCTACGCAGTAACCTTATCCTCCACTTGGAAGGCGAGTGCTCCTGCCAAGACAGGCCACCCAACGAGCTATGGTGGCAAAGGTGCGTGTGTGTGCATTTTAATGCGTGTGTGAACACAAATACATATGCATATGGTCGACATGATGCATATTTGCAGAATAACGAACTATTTCTTGGCATGATCTTTCCATCCCTCTTCACAGGCATTTTCATTTTGAAATGTCATTACTGAATGTAGGCTGCTTGTTGAAGGGAGCAGGCAGCGAGACGACCATTCTGACTCTGAACTGTGGGGTCTCGATTCCTTCTGCGCCTTGCGAGTCCTTGCCTGTCTGCCCAGCCCACTGCCAGTCCCGTGCAGATCCCTGCCTGCAGAGTGGAAAGCCCTGTCCACACTTTTTTTAAAACTTAAAAATACCAAAGTCCTAAGGAGAATGATCCTGCTGAGGAGGTGGCAGGGTGCACTTCCTTTGCAACTTGCTTTGCTTTCCACGGCACATCCTTCCCTCCATCCAGGGACTCTCCTTGCCCACAAGAGCATGGAGTGCTGTGTCGGGGTGCCCCGCAGAGAGTGGCTGCAGGGCAGGGCTCATTAGAAGCCCAATCCTTGGGAGACTGCTCATGCTCCCATTCTGTGCTCTGGCCAAGGACATGCCACCAAGTCCTCAGAGGCCAACTGGTCATGGTCACTCTCCTGACCGACCCTTGCTCCACATGGCCCTCATGCTGGGCCTGGAGTTGCAGGCAAGGGGCCTTCAGGAGCTTTTCCTGGCAGTTTGGGCACCTGGGAGGGAGATGAAAAGCCAACCCTCCCTTCACCTCAGGGTTCCCAGGCTGGATACCCCGCCTCCCCCCGCCACACACACACAGCAACACTGGAGCAATGCACAGCGCTTTGAGAACTTCCTTTCCCTTCACAACTCACGGGTGTCTGCAGGGAGGGGGCAGGCATGCCGCTGCAGCTTCTATCTGCCACTTTGACCACTAGGTGACAGCTAGGGGACAGAGGACCAGAATGGGGCAGTGCAGATTGGCATTCACAGGCTGGGCCTACTGCAGTCCTGTTCCTGCTCTGAACCAGCGCATCCCCATGAGCGCCCACTGCTAACATGGCTACATTGGCACCGCCAAACAGGACCAGCCAGATCTCCAGCAAAGGCATTTTGATTGGAGAAGAAAATCCCACTTTCAGATGCCAGCTCCAGATCACTTAAAAGCCATCCCTTTTTTCTAAAGGGCACATTCAGAATGTCACCCATTTGTAACTTGTTCCCTGCTGTCCATTGGTGGCGGGGTTCTGCACCACTGCAACAGTAGGCAACGGGTTGCTCACGCTGCAATGGCAGGAGGCGAGCTGCGTGCACTCCACTCCAGCTGCTTCTCACCCTCTGTTGCTCATGCGTTCCCAGAGCCCACGGCCGATACATCTCACACAGCAAACTCTCACTGCTACTGTACGCGCCGGTTGTCTCGTCCCTGGGTCACTTTGTGCTGGGGTGTGGGCTCGAGAGAGGTATGCTGTGCACGCGGATCTTTTCACTCTGGTTTGGGTACCACCTTCAGGCCAAGGGACCTGACTCACGGAAAGCCCTCCTCTCTCCAGCATTCTCTCACACGGAATGGCTTGGCCACCTGTGTTCAGTTAATAAACATGTTTTACATTTGTATCTGCCTGTTAGGAAGATGAACGCGAACTATTGTACTGAGGAAGACCACAGATGCATAATAATTTAAAGTCTGTAGCTGAATTTCCTAAGACTAGACCCAAATTTCTGTGTATAAAAAAAAAATGAAAGGCTCTTACAATCCTGGCCTGGATCATGTGTGTGACTTATTACTGGGGGAATTCTCGTGCAACCTCAATACAGGCATCTTCATGTCATCTTGGCCAGGGACCTGCAGGTGACAGCCACCTGTCAGGAGAGGTCAGACCGAGCACACACACACTCGGAGGGTATGCCCCTCCGAGTCCCCATAGCTGAGACACATCAGGCATTTCTCAGTGCACACACAGCGCAGAGGCATTAATCACAGTCACAGCCATTGGCACTGTGCACCTGCAGCGCACACGTTCTCTTCCCCCAGAGCAACTCGGTCCACGCTCAGCACCAACCTGCAGCCCCTGGCCCTGCTGGGTGTCTGTGAGCACCACCCCTACAGCCACTGCCTGTGGATGCACTCCTACACTACTGTCCTGTCTACCTGCTCTCCCTGACTGTCCTGGCCCTGAAGGTCATGGCCATGAGTACACAGGTCCCATCCCACTTCCCTCCTTGGTGCCAACCATGCCACTGTGTGCAAAGAGCACTCCAGGCCGCGCACTCCTGCAGAGGGCCACATGGTATGCCTCCATCTTTTGACTGTTAGGAACAGTACTGCTAGATGCAGGCGCACTGGTATCTTCACCAGTGGACACTGCCATGGCTACTGCCTGAGAGTTCCGATGGCAGCCTTCATCTTTCCTACAGCTGTGGGCAGCAAACACATAACCCATGCTCGTGCTTCCGCTGAAAGCTCGGGTGTGAATCGGAGCACTCCACTGTGCCTGCACCCAGCTCAGGCCAGCAAGGTCCAGACAGGTTGTTCTGGTCTCAAGACTTGCAGATGAGCCCCGGAGTGGCCTGTTAGGAAACACAATTCTATGGCTCAGCACTGCACATCACCCTTCTAGACTTGGCAAGAGTACACTTTCCAGGGAAGTGGACAAGAAAGGAAAAAACTGGACTCCAAGTTCCGACCAAGTACCAGAGTTTGAATAGTACCACCCTTTTCCTCTCCCCCTCCTCCAAAAACAAAAACAAAACACACACACACATTGCAAACAAAACAAAAAAACAGCAGGGGTTCTGGCAGGGTAGTCTAGTAGTTAAATCCTTGCTTTGCATGTGCCTGGATCCCATACAGGAGCTGGTTCGTATCCTGGGTGCTCCACTTCCCATGTAGCTTATGGCCTGGCAAACAGTAGAGGACAGCCCAAAACCTTGGTTGGGATCCTGCACCTGCATGGGAGACCCAGAAGCTCCTGGCTTCAGATCAGCTCAGTTCCAGCCATTGCGGCTATTTGGGGAGTGAACCAGCGGATGAAAGATCTTTCTGTTTCTCCTTTTCTCTGTAAATGACTTTCCAAGAAAAATAAACAAATCTTAAAAAAAAAAAAAAAACAGCAGCAGGCAAATGGCAGAACACCTGGCTCATCAGGGTGCAAGTACATTCTGAACCAAGACAGTAAAGAAGCGCAGGTGAGCCACATTCTGTATCAAAGCAGCAGGCACCCCACAGGGAGAACACGTGATTCCCCAAATGCATGGGCAATGTGTCTCTCACTTGTCTTTCACAAGCACTGCTGCTAAGCAGGGTGACCCCCAGGTCGCTACATCAACCTCAAGCCATGGGGAGGGACCCATTCCTGTGGAGACACTGGCTCCGGCAGGGCACCATGGTCTCTCTGAAGACTCTCAGGAAAACTTGTGTTCTCAACCTCTCAGCTTCTGGAACAGCCAGCAATCCTTGGATGTGTCTCTAGTGCCTTTTGCTAAGGGCAGTCATCTGACCGTGACGCTTTCTGCTCATCCCAGACTTCTGACTGCAGTCATATGCATGAAATCCAGGGACTGAGATGTGGGGAGTAGTTTGAGGGGATTCAATTTATGCATCACAGCCAGGAAAGAGGAATCAAGGCCTTACCAGGAGCCAGTGGCTCTCCTCTCTCCTCTCGCTCAATTACTTGACATTTTGCAGGAATTAAGATGAGCTCGGGACAGGGGAACTCCTGGAAGCTTTGGATTAGAAACAAGCTTACCTCAATCTCTCACTACTGACCATTTAACCCCTCAGTGAAGGAGATGATAGAGGGGGTTGTGCCCATGCAACCGCTACTGAATCTGGGTAAAGCCTTGAGTAATGGGAAGCAAATCCCTTGACACCACACCCACCGTGGAACACCAACTCCAATGTCACTCTACACAGACACTTGGGCAAGAACTGGGTGGCACCTACAGTGTCCCTGAATGTGCATGACAATGCAGAGAGGCCCTGGGCAACTAGCAGTGTGACAGTGGCAGAGGTCAGCACACAAAGAACATGAAGCCAAGGCCAAGTTCCTAGGCCAGTGTGCCAGGCAGATGGGGTAGCTGACAAGAGAAACTAGTCTGAAGGCACTGGGTACAACATGCTCGACTAGCAAAGAGGGGAAACTGAATCCCAGAGAGGAAAGGATCACGTGTTAGTGCCTGATGTGCGCTTGCTCGCTCTACTCGTGCTTCTTGTCAGTGCAGCCTGGGAGTGGGACTGGGTCAGGGGACAGGTTTGCGTGGCCTGCCCGTTGGGAGTGATAAGCCTTGAGTGAAGGCTCCTTCTGCACCTGCAAGAATGTGATGCCTAGATGAACTCACAGAACCAAACGTGAGACTTGAGTTGGACCAGTCCCAACCACTATGCCACAGTGTGCTTAAGCTGTGTGCAGCCTGGAGGGAGGCTGGGCAAGTGTGACCGGAGCTAGCCTGGGGCCCCCCCGACCAAGGATGGTCCTTTCTCTTAAAGCAATGAGCAAGGAAGCACAGGGACACTGCTGTGGAATGGGTCTGCACTGCCTACCTGGCACTGTATTTCCTGGCTTTGTGTCTGCACGCATAGCACCTGGGTGCAGCCCTTCTGAATGCTAGTGGTCCTTCGGAAAGTCAGACTTGCCAGCCAAGGGCCAGATTCTTCCCCAAATGGATATTCAGCCTGTGCCTAGCAGGCTGGCCACCCAACCCTGCACTACCTCAGGGCCACCCTGCCACACGCTATGCCACACACCCTGCAGAGCATTCTGGCACCTTCAGGGGCAGCACAGGTCACAGAGCAAGGGCCACTGGTACCCTCAGATTTGCATCACTTTTTATTATACAAAATAAAATGCCATCTCTGGTGCGTATTCACGCTGTCTCTAAAAAATCGCCGAGGAATGCAGTCCAATCCGCTCTCATTTCTCGGAAGGATGTCAAGCCTCAAAGGGCAGCTGGAGTCCTCTCTGAGGACAAAAGCAGGTGTGGCTACCTTGGGCCAGTCAAACACTGTGGCTCCCAGCCTGCCCACTGCCGGAAGAGCTCTTCTCAGCAGCTGGGCTGCGGCTACTGGGGATAAACTGGCAGGCAGCACATCGTCCCCTTCAGCAGCCACTCTGGCAGCCCAGTCAGTCATCTCAGCTACGCCCCTGGGGACTGGTTGTCACAGCGATGTGCTGGCACTGTCCCCAGACAGCCGGCCATCCTGGGCTTCTCTTTGGGCAGGCCTGGGCCTGGACCTTAAGGGATCTCTGTGTCCATGGAATAAATCTGAATGAGATCAGACACAATGTTATCAATGATTGGCTTGGTAAGGTCTTCACTAAACACCTGGAAAGGAAAAAGAAAACAAGCTCCAGTTAGACTCCCCCGGAGTCAAGCAAGGCACTGAGCCCTCGTCCGGATGCCACTGCCCAGACAGGAGAGGTGCCCAGAGTCCGGCTGCCAGGGATAGTGGTTCTTGTGCGAGGCCAGAAAATACGACAGGGAAGAGGCCTTTTGCAATCATCTGACCCAGACAGGAGACAGGACTTGTACATGGTCACAGAGGAAACTGGAGACAGTGGGCCCAGAGTGCAGGCTCTGATGAGAGCGGCAGACACAGGAGGGGCGACCTGGAGCTGTGTCCCCGCTGATGCCAGACAGTGCAAGGACACTCAACAAGCTGCATGGCGCATCCACAGGGGCCCCAACCCATGAGGACTTTGCAAAGTGACAACCCTGGGCCACTGGCAGCGCGGGGACACGAAAGAGACAGCACAGTGAAGAGTAGCAGTCCCAAAGGCAGATGCGAGCATCCTTCGCTAGGGCTCCTGCTGCTCGCTCCCCCGCCCCAAGGCTGCCCGGGGCTCCCGGCCTACCCCAGGCAAGCAGCTGTGAGCCATTGGGAAAGGTGAAGGCGAGGGTGTGGGGCTTTCAGAGGTTCAGGGTGTATATGCATTGGGTGTACCCCATTTAGACATTTAGTCTGGGTGTCCCTGAAAACAGCCTCATGGCAGCACTCCACCCTTGGGCAGGCTACTCCTGGGGCAGAGAGGGTGCTGGCCTGGCAAAGAGAATGTACAAGGAGGTAAGCAAGTAAGCAGGCCGGACAAATTGTCACAAGCAAGAGGCAACAGAGGGTGACATGGCTGATCTAAGGGTCCCACGGGCTTGGGACCACCTTACCCACCAGGCATCCTCAGAGGACAGAGGCTAGCAAGAAGTGGTAGCCACTTCTATACTGACTGTCCAGGCCCAAGGCCACTGCAGCCACTGTCTCTGCAAGTCCCACAGAAGAGAGCACCTGGCCTGAGCCAGGGACTCTGCACATATCCCTGACTTCTTCCCACTCACAAGCTCTGGGCACCCAATCCCGGGCACCTCCGGCTGGGTGTGAGGTGGGTGTACCACGACAGGAACAGCGTCACGCCAGGGATGTAGTTCTTGTGAGGAGCACAGTGGGCATGCAGTCTACTCCCAGTGCTCCCGCTCACTCAGTCTGAATGAGGCAGGCAACGTGTCCCTGCCTCCACCATACCTGTGTACTCCTTCAGCTGCCTGCCTACCTCCCATCCATCCACCCATCTCTGCAAAGCACTCTGAGGCTCCTGAAGGCTACCTGATTTCCACCAAGTCCCCACTCAGTTTAACTGCTCTTGGCTCACCTCGCTGGGGTCCAAGCAGGACAAGCCCTGTACCAGGGCATTTGGCCACCACATCAACAGCACCCTCTCTGCCACTCGCTGCCCATGAAGACAAATGTAGCCCAAACAACTGCACTGGTCCACTAGTCTCAGAAGACTTACGATTCCTTTCCAGGCAAGGACCAAAACGAGTGGCAAGCAGCCAAGGACAGGGGCTTCCATTAGGAAAGGGGGCCCAGGACAGGCACAACAAGCAGCCATCTCACCTGCCACCATGGCTTCTCAGCCTCAGCCTCAGCAGGTACCTCCACGCCGTAGATGTGCAGGGCCAAGTAGAGCACGGCCACAGCTAGGTGCTGAGCCGCGAAGCGGAGGCACAGTCCTCCATGGTAGCTGTCCCGCAGCAGGGCCCAGGCTGTGACAGAGATGGGGGTCCGCTGCCAGCTATACCGGTTCAGCCAGTTCTTGAGGGAAATCAGGTAGTGGAGCAGGTACTGCAAAGACAGACACACTTTAGCCGGAATACTGCCAGGCTCCAGCCATGCTCCCCCCTCATACCAGCCCTCCAATGGCTTCCGGGCCACTTGGGGGAAAAGCTACAAAGCCTACTGCAGGCCTGCCTCTCACTCCAGCCTCATCTGCCATGGGCCTCGCCAGTTACATGTGGAAGATGCACTCAATCGCACTCTGGGCCTGCACATTCATAACCGTCCCTGGCATTAAACCACCTCACTGTACACCATTGCCCCTGTGTTTGCCATTTCGGGTGGCCATGGCCATAACCGCCCTCTGCAACACGGGGCCCACTGCTGCCACCATGGCAAATCACTCTGGATCTGGTGCCACAGAGAGCCAGGTCCTTGTCTACCGAAACCTCGTGCAGCACACGGCCAAGTACCCTGGCCGGCCACACACACCAGCACACACCAGCACACCCCAGCCATGCATCCCTATGCTCTTTGCAGCGAATGTGTAGGGTCTGGCACTGGTATTACTAGGCACTGAGCCCATAACCTCCAAGGCCTCAACATGTGCTCCCTAAGCAGAGCCAACTCAAACCCAGGCAACTCCACTATGAACTGTGGGCAACGCAAGGCAGCGGCATAACTACCTAGCTAAACAGCCACTGCTCATGTGAACACTTTTATTGACATAATTGTTATTTGTGCTACATCTGTGAGGAATCACTCCAACTCCCTGCTAATGCAGCCCCTGGGAGGCAGCACACAACAGCTCAAGTCCTTGGGCCCCTGCCACGCACCTGGGAGACCCCAAGGAGGTACCCTGTCCCTGGCATGACAAGCACTCGGGGGAGCCAGGGAATGAGAGCTACCTGTTACTCTCTGTGTCAGCCTCTCAAATGTCTCCTAATTTAAAAAAAAAAAAAAAAAAGATGAAGATGGTTGGCCCAGAGGCACCAGCATCACCTATGTGCGCGGATTCGTGTCCCAGCAGCTCCACTTCCCACCCAGCTCCCTGCCTGTGGCCTGGGAAAGCAGTGGAGGACGGCCCAAAGCCTTGGGACCCTGCACCCACGTGGGAGACCTGGAGGAAGTTCCTGGCTTCAGATCAATCCAGTTCCAGCCATTGCGGCCACTTGGGGAGTGAATCAGTAGACGGAAGATCTCTGTCCCTTCCTCTCTCTGAAACTCTGCTTTTCAGCTCAATAAATACATCTTTAAAAGGAAAAATAAAAAAGAACTGAAATCCTAGGCCCAAGTTGCACAGCCTGCTTTCTCTCTGGCCATCCTTGTAGGTGTCACATCTATGGGCTCCTAAGAGGAGGCCTCTGCCAAGTCTCATGCCTGCCAGATGCTTCCAAGTATGCAACTTCCCTCAGGCCACTCCGTTTTCTTCCTGGGAGTGGAGGCCAGCAGAGCTGTACACACACCCTGAGCCTTTGCAGCAATGGCCCCCAGCAGGCACAGCTGGGCCTCGCTTGGCCCCAGAGTGGGCTGTCAGAAGCACCGGGGCCTTGGGCCGCCGTCCACAGGGCCCCAGCACGTACCTTGTGCGGGTGCTGGAAGGATACCTGGAAACGCAGGATCCTGAGCATAAGGAGCTCACACTGCACGATGCTGTCCCGCAACTCCCAGAAGCGCGAGTCCAGCTCCAGGGGCTCACTGCTCGGGTTAAAGTACCTGCGGGAACAACAGCGGCACTCACGGCACCAGCAAAGCTGCCCCTGCCACAGCAGGACGCCCGGCCACGCCCTCAAGTCACGGGATGTCCAGATAGAAATGAAGGGGCCCACACTCGCTGGATACAGGGTCATTGGGTCTGCTGTTGTCACAATGAAAACGGTGCCTGAGGGAAAGGAGGTATCGACAGCACTGCAAGCACAAAGATTGGCTCTTTGCGATGGTTTTCAAAGAACGAAGAACCGGAAGCACTAGCTCCGAGAGGGCTGTGGCTTCCGGTTACAGGCAGCCCAACACTAGGGTGGCCCTCAGCTGAGGAGACAGCACCCAGGGCTCTTAACTCTGGGAGCAAGGCACTTTCCACATGAATGCCATCTTCCCAACAGCAAATGGCATAGTTTTGTAGTTTCTTCCTTCTAGATCTTTCTATCCTACTTACACTGGCCATGCGCATGACACTACCACCTACACAAGCAGCCGGAGATGCACGTGAACAGAATTCACACTCGGGCAATCAAAGCTGCCTGCCAGTGACTCATCCTTACTAGTTGCTCCTCATTCTGCAGTTTCTCTGCAGCCCCCACCCTATGTGCCCACGTCCAATTAGTAGCTCTGCACAATTTCCCCTTTGGCTGCTCCTCCCTGCTGGGGCACAGGCAATTACAGGCTGCCTCCAGCCACCCTCTCGGCTTCCTGCCCGCTTCTCTCAGTCCGTCCCTGTACACCGCGAACCTGCTAGGCTTAGGGGGTGGGCAGCGCTTTTTTTGTTACCTGTTTATTTTAAAAGCAGCAGAACAAAATAGCTTTCTTCCTAATGATTAGAGTTCCTGGAAGGCTGATGACGCACAGCTAGTTAGTAACTTTCCATCAACCGCACAGCTCTCTCCTGCCCCCCCAACTCCCAGGCCTCGGTGATGCCCACTTGACTGGGCACTGCCCAGGAGGCAGCAGCAGTCCTCGGGTCCAGCTGCACTGCCCGTGGATCCATACACACTTGCCTCCTGACTGAACTCAGTTTCCTGCCCCACCTGAGCAAGACAACTGCCCCGCTGGGTCTGTTCCCTTCCCTGGCTGGCCCAAAAGCCCAGCTGGGAGCCGGATCTCTGAACTCCCTCTGCCAGGGCCATAGCTCTGTGTTCCATCTGACCTTTGAAGGCCCCACAATCTGGCCCACCTTCTCTCCCACAGACTCGTGCCCCGGCCCCTTGGCGCTGCACTTCCTCCCTTTGCAGTCAGCGCCCAGGACAGGGCCGTGTAGGTGCTTCCTTCCCGGCACCAGGAGGGCAGGCACAGCAGGAGCCTGCTCCGCACTGCCCCTCCACCAGCACCTTGGCCCGGAAGCCATTACCTGTTGGACACGTTGATGATGTCACGGGTACGCAGGTGCTGCTCCTCCACTTTGCCAGCCAAATAAATGGCTGTCATGGCAACTAGGTAAGGGTCATAGGCATCCAGGTTGATCTCGCCAAAGAACTTATGGTAAATGGTGCAAGCAGTGGCAACGGGAATGGAGTGCATCCCCAGTTTGATACCTACAGAGAGAAAGCAGCAGAATCCTTCAATCTGCTCCCTGCTCCCCCACTGCTCAAATAACGGAGGCCACTGGCTCAGGCCTGAAAGGCACAGAGGTCACTCACATCAGACTCAGAGCTTGCGGCCTGGCTGCTAGCAGCAGCCACTGGTTTCTCAGTCTCGGCCCTGAGGCAGCTGTTTGGTCACAGGGCCCTCTGCAATAGATGTCATGCACGTGCTGTGGGTGTGCACACCACATGACACACAACAGTTCACACTAAGCTCAGTTCCCGACAGGCATAAGACGCTGGCAAGAAGCACATGCTCGTGCGTATCTCTCTACCTCAGCAAGCAAGCACTTAACCAGACACCGTCTGCCCCACAGCTCACCTAATGTAAACCCTGCTGACAGAAGGCAAAGATGCCACAAGTCCTGATGTCACATTAAAGAGCATACTCAGCACAGACTAAAAAGGCAAGAAAAGGAAGCAGGGTGAGCACAGGTGATGCGAAAGAACAAAACAAAAACAACCCAGCAACCTTTGGGGCCAGCGAAGGAGACCAACACACTGCAAAGTGAACTGAACTCAAAATGCAGAGCTCGGTGGGGATGGACTCAGGCAGAGGGTAAAAGCTACCCCCACCATGCTACCCAGCTCCTGAGGCCACCATATTGCATCATGGAGTCAAAGGCTTCACGATGAACCATGTTAGCAGCATAAGGTCCAATGGGCTGAGCACAGGAGGTAGAGTGTGTTCAACATCCTGCCCCTAACAAGGGGGACTCACTCCCTGGGGCTGCTGGAGCTCCTGACATCAAATGACCCACAGACCGGAAGTCTGAACCCCACATCCAGGTGCCAGGAGGGCTGGTCCCCCTTTCAGAGGGTCCAGGGAGACTTTGTCTCCTTGTGTACTGCTCAGCTCCTGGTCTCATCGCCGCCTCCAGCAGCAGCACAACTGTTTTATCACCACATGACCCTCTCCCGACTCGCCCTGCCTCTCTCAAAGGTGACAATTAATGCCACTTGAGACACTCGCATCCTGCACTGCAGTTCCTGGGTTCGAGTCTCCGCTGCTCTTCCAACTGCAGTTTTCTGCTAATACAGACACTGGGAAGTAACAGGTGATGGGTCAAATACTCGGATCCCTGGTATCCCCAGACCCAGAGGAAATTCTAGGCGCTAGCTTTGGCCTGGCCATCCCAGTCCTGGATGTTGTAGGCACTGGACGTATCAACCAGTTGAGTTCAATATCTCTCTTTTAAATAAATAAGTAATGAGTGTGGTCACAGTTGTATCCACCCCAATAATGTAATATAATCTTCCCATCTCCAGGTCCTCAATGATATGTGCAAAGTCCTTTGTGCTATGTGAGGTGACATTCACAAGTTCCGGAAGTAAGACAGGAACAGCACTGGCAGAACCAACCAGCACTGGGCGCCTACACGGCAGCAATGCAACATGTTCATAACAAAGTGCTTCCTAAGGAGTTCTCGGTACATCAAGATGTCAGCCGCAGTTAGACTATCCTGCCAAGGGACCCGTCATTTCAGAAGATGCCACATAAGGTGGCACTGCAGTGAGCCACCAAGCCTGGACAGACACAGAAAACCCCAGTTTAAAGACCTGCCCCCACTAGTGGATGGCAGTAAACGTAGGAATGCTGCCACCCTTTGACACTCTCCTCAAACTTAATGCAACTTTACAGCTCACTGCAAGGTGCCAGCTTGCCGCGTTCTCTCACAGCGTCCACAAGCACGTTGACTCGAACACATATCCTCCCCCACGGGGCACACAGACCAATAAGGAAATGACTGTTGAGTGGAAGAAGATGTGAATTGAGCTTCACAAGGTGAGAGAAAACTTTTTTTTATTTTTTCCAAACATTGGCAAAACTGTAAGGCAGCAATACCTCAAAACTTTGTGAGGTTTTGTTTTTATTTTGTATTGCTAAATTCCAAAGCACACAAGCCATTTCCTGCCATATTTCCGTAGTTATGGGGTCTCCTCATCTTTAGACTGCGGCAGTGCTCCAGTGCCCCGCGGCTTGTCCATGGGGATTTACGGTTCAGGAGCCCGTGAACGCTGAAACAAAGCCTAACCTCCGTGATTGGTGACAAAACTGAATAGATCAAGAATGATAAGAGATTAGTTGCTAATCTTTTATCATGAAAGTAACATAAAGTAAGAAAAACAACAAAATAAGTATCTTAGTAACGTAAGAAAAATAAAACTGTAACAAGAAACAAAAGGTAACTGTTTTCTGGTTGAAAGAAGCAAAGAGTGTTTCTGTAGCAATGGCAGTGGCTTCCGTTCCGCACAGTGGAAGTCCACGCAGCACTCCAAAGGCTGCACCCACGCAGCGCCGAGCAGGTGGGGCCTGGGGCGAGGCGAGGGCGTGGCCTGCCCCACGGAAGGCCGGGAACCCTGGCTGGGGCCTCTCTGCGGGCCCTTCTAGACCACGTCCTCTCTCTGGGCCTGCAGGACCGTGCTGGCGTGCTGGACAGGCAGAAGCCCTGAGCCCTGAGCCGGGCCTCTCCGGCGAGCCACACCGGGAAGGCCTGGCCTCTTCCGCGTCCTGCCGGCATCGGCTCGCTCGCCGCTCACTGTCCGCGGCCCCGGCCTCCGCGTCCTGTCTGCGCGGGCTGCCCTCTCCCTGGCGTTGGTTACCTGCCTCCATGATGAATCTCGTCACTCGGAAGTGTACCCTCGCCTCGGGCACCGGCCGCCCCTCGGCCCCCAGCGCCCCAGCCCCTCCTCCGTGGCTCTCTCGGCCCACGGCCTCCATGAAGCCCCGCCCCGCGGCCCGCCGCCGCTCCCCTCCCACCGGAAGGAGAAGCTCCCTCCGCACTGCTCGGTCACCTCCCGGGGCTTGGCGCGGCGGCCACGGCCGCCCCGCTCGGCCCGGTGCGGGGACCGCGGCTGCGCGAAGGAAGCGGCCCTGCCGGGTGCGCAGGCGCAGCGCAGGCGCAGCGGTCAGCTCTGCGTGCGGGCCTGAGGACGCAAGCTTGGACTCCGCCCGCAGAAGCAAGCTCGCCGCTTCTAGGCTAAGGGCCCGCTTCCGGGAGACACTCCACCCCCACACTGCACCTGCCCGCCCTGGAGAGTGAAGCTCCGCCCCTGGGAGCTTCATTGTTCTGTCCCTGAGACCAGAATCTTTCAGAGCTGCTCCGCGGGAGCACGAAGGTCCCCCAGCGCCAAAAGTGACAAGTTGGGGCTCCCAGGTGGTGGTTTAGCATGCCTTAGGATGGTGAGAACTGGCCCCATCTGCCAAGCATTGGGCGAAGGGCGCTTAAAGGACTCCAGGTTAGAGTTGTACATTCCAAGTCTGGATTTGCAGAAATGTTGCACATAAGCATGGGACCTGAAGGAATTTGTAGTGTATTTCCCAGCTGCTCCGAATCTACTTTGTGCTCACTTTTCAAGCCTGCACACAATGGGAGTTTAATAAATGTTTCTTGACTGAGTGTTGACTGTGAAGCACATCTTTACATCCCATAATCCTGTCATATCTTCCAGACACAGGAAATCGTTGTGCATTAGACATCATTCTCATAGATTTGCATAGTTGCTTGACGCAACACAACTGAGAAGCAAAAGGCAGTGCTCCTACCCGGGTCTCTTCCCCATCCCACATAACTCACTTCACGGCGGTGGCCAAAAAGAGCCCAAACTTGTCGTCTCCAAGCTCTGCAGCTTTGTGGAGACGGTGGCTGCAAGGCTGTGCTCACCCGGAGGCTTTGAGACAGCTGCTTCCGGTCTCAGCTGTCGCTTGAGCTTGGGACAGTGTCACTGCGTTCTCCACCCTGGCCTCTGTGTCTTACAAGGAAGCCTCACGTTGTATTTAATACCCAGACTGCCCGAAAAGATCCCCTGCCAACAGCGCACATTCATCCTGTCTGTGAAGACCCAACCAAAGTCACATTGACAGGTTCAGCCGTGCAGCTGTGGCACCAATCACCCTGCCTCAGGTCTCACCACTCTGTCCCTCTGGCATGACCTTCCCGTTCAGCATTTCTGTTGGTCACAAGGGTTCCTACCCCTGCCCCTCCCTGCTTGCTTTCTTTGTGCCAAAGTATCAGGTATAAAGGCACCCAGGGCCCCCAGTGCCCTGAGCTGCTCACACCTGTCATGCCTTGAGTACTCTGGCACTGCTGTTTCTCCTCTCCCCAGCTCCTTCCAGATCTGACAAGTTCAAGTCCATGGGTGACCCCTGGGACATGAACCTACTGTCTTTAAACCTCCTGCCTGACCTCCCACATCTGTATACACACTGCGCATGCCCCCCATGGATACACACACATGTACATTGTGTGTTCCTTGTTACACACATGCATATGTGCACACACACACTCCTATTGTCCTTCCCTGGGCCTGCCCCTGGTGCTCCAGCCTGTGCATGCCCTCTGCACTGCCCACACCACTGGGTCTCACAGTTAAACAGCACTGTTTGAGCACCTCGCCCTCCCTTGGGCCTTTTGTGGTGTGAAGAGCCTGGCTTCTGCAAGTAATAGGTGCTGGTGAATGCGAGTCAAGGGAGTGACTCAATGAACACATTAAATTTTAAAGCCTTGGGTCACAAGGCACTCTCCTGGCAGGCAGCCTCAGGGAGTGGTTGATAAATGAATAATTCACAAGCACCAATTGGCGCCAGGAGTACTCACCCACAAGCAGAGCATGCCTGCAGACCAGCCCTCCCTCGCCTGCACCTGTCACCTGTGCACCACAGGCTGTCTCTTCCCCCTGACTCAGATAGCAAGCTCCCTGAGGGCACAGCAGGATTCTGGCCCATTCTGCCAGCCTTTCCTTGCCTAACCTAGAGCAGGGCCTTGACAGTAATTAACTCAGTCCTCTGCTCACAGCGATGCTATTATCACATAAGAGGATGAGTCACTTCAATGAATTAAACTCCTCAGCTGAAGCTCAAAAGCTGAAGCAAAGGAAGATGCAAGAGGCTTGCGGAGCATAGAGCCAAGCATGGGGGATCTCTTTTCTAAAGATTTCTTTTTAAATTTTCTTTTTTTCTTTTTTTTTAAGATTTATTTTTATTGCAAAGTCAGATATACAGAGAGGAGGAGAAACAGAGAGGAAGATCTTCTGTCCAATGATTCACTCCCCAAGTGACCACAACAGCCAGTGCTGTGTCAATCTGAAGCCAGGAGCCAGGAACCTCCTCCAGGTCTCCCACGCGGGTGCAGGGTCCCAAAGCATTGGGCCGTCCTCCACTGCTTTCCCAGGCCACAAGCAGGGAGCCAGATAGGAAGTAGAGCTGCCGGAATTAGAACCGGTGCCCACATAGGCTTCCAGCATGTTCAAGGCGAGGACTTTAGTAGCCGCCAGGTCACTGTGCTGGGCCCCAAATTTTCTTTTTACTGTTATTACATGGTTGAGAGGGATGCATGCTCATGTGGGTCTCTGATTAGAGTGAGGAGAGTTGAGCTATGAAAGAAAGTCGGTGGGACACATGTTTCAGCATTGTTGTGGGTTTTTTTTTTTTTTCCTTCTGTGTCCACAGGGAAAGAGGAGAAAGAGACTGCTTCTTGCTCTCAAACTACATCAGCACCTGGGGATGGGGGCTGTTCATCTGATGACATCTTATAAGAGACACTGATGTGAGAAAGAGTGTTCTGGGTGTGTTATTAGAGTGGTTTTGATAGTTCTGAGAAGTTGTTGGCTTCATTGTTTCAAGGCTGAGAAAATCTTTCCAAGGTCTGCTGGTTGACAAAGTCCATCTTAGTACATCTGCAGACCCAGGAACATGCTGCAAAGCTTGGCCAGGAGGGTGGTCCAACCTGTTCTGCTTTCCATTGTCTGACCAGGCAGTCCCCTGCTGGCCTAGATGAAGTGGTTATCATGTCAGCCATGTGTATCTGGGCGTGCTGTCCACTGCACAGGCATCAGCAACTGAGGAGGCCCAGGCATCCTGTGATTTTCCCTGTGACAAGGGTCTGAGTCTAGTAGTCTAGTCGGGTGTCTCCCAAGAAATCTCACCTGAGGTGACCTCAGACTTGACTCCTATGTACACCAGCCAGTCCAGGGTCAGATTCAGTCTGTCAGCTGCACCAGACAGTACACATACAAGTAGATGCAGCTGCCTGGTCAGTTCCACCCCAACCCCATATCTCTCACAAACCCACAGGTACTGAGGCTCAGCCCAGCCAGCACACCACAGACTCAGTCCGTACACACACTAGTGGATGCTATGGCCTACTTGCAGTGACCCCCAATAATTCCTACCAAGCCCACCTCCAGTCCTGGTTTTTGCACATATCAGCCTCTGCTGCAGCCTAGACTGGTAGCCCAGCCCACATCCCATCTTGCTCTAATGCACACTCATGAGTGCTGTGGTTTAGCTCAGACTACCCTGCCCCCAAACCTAGCCCTCATGTATGTTGACAGGTGCTGCTGCCTTGTCCAGCCTGGTCCACACCCAGCCCTGGTTCTCATGTTCACCAGCAGTAGGTATAGCCTAGCTAGGGGGTGCCCACAATTCCCCTACCAGGCATATTTCTGTCCTGAATCTTGTGCCTGCCAGGAGTTACTGCAGTCCAGCCTGACAACTCACACCCAGTCCTTGCACTTACCAGCTGGTAATGCAACCTAGCCTGGCTGAGCCACATCCATTCTGGCTGTCGTGGACACCAGTGGGTATAGCAGCCTAGTAAGCCCAGCTCACCCCCAGACCAACCCACCTCCAGTCCCAACTCTCACGCTCACCAGTGGAAGCAGCAATCCAGCAAAGGAGCTCATTCCCAAAGTTCCCACACCAAGTGCACTCCCAGCCCTCGGTCTTGTGTGTCTCACTAGGTGCTGTGGCCAATTCTGAGATGGCCTGTCCCTAGTCTTGGCATTAGCCAGCAGGTGCTGCAGCCTAGCTCAGCCCAGCCTTCCCCTAGGCCTAGCTCTCACCGGCAGGTACAGCAGCCTAGCCCAGCCTGGACTACCCTCAGCCTTCATGTGAACTGGTGGGTTTTGCAGTCCAACTATGCTTGACTGTCACTTGTGCCAGTGTGTGCTTGTGGACTGACCCTGTATGGCCCGCCCCCAGACCTGACTTGAGTGCTGCAGCTTGTTTCCAGCTTTGGCTCTTGCACTCACCAATGGGAACTGTGGCCTAGCAAGGGAGTTCCCCAAGTTCCCCTATCAGGCATGACCCCAGCAATGAATTTCACATGTGTCAGTGAGTGTTGCTACCCAGACTGACATGGTTGGCCCCCAGTCTTGGCACTCACCAGCGGGTACTGCAGCCTAGCCCTACTGGCCCTCACCCATTCAAGTTCTTGCCAATGGATGCTATAGCCTAGCCCAGCGTGGCCCACCACTAGACTCAGCTCTCATGTGACCTAGTGGGTGCCATGGTCTAGCCTGGCCTGTCTCACAACTATTCAAACTCTGCCAAGTGCCAACAGTTGGTAGAGCCTAGCCCAGACTGGCCCACCCCACATCCACCCCACATACATACCAACAGGTGCTCCAGCCTTGCCCAGCCTGGTTCACTAATCCCTAGCTCTTGCACTCACCAGTAGAACTGCGGCCCAGCAGGAAAGTCCCCAGAGTTCCCCTACCAGGTCTATTCCCAGCCCCAGGTCTTGCGCAGACATGCATGTTGGTGGGTGCTTCCACCCAGCCTGGAATGGCCCACCCAAAGTCTCAGCTCTCGTTGGTGGGTGTTACAGCCTAGCCCAGTTGGGGACAGCCCATACCCTGTCCTGGCTCTCATGCATACCAGTAGGTGCTGCGGCCTGACCCAGTGCAGCCTGGCTCAAGACCTGGCCCATACAAATGCTG